GATGGGGGGAGGTGGGGCTGGCCGGAGGTGCAGCGGGGGGAGCAAATCGGCCAGCGGGGAGCGGGACTGACCCGGCCATATGCAGATCTCAGGGCACTGTCGTCCCCCCGGCAAAGCCGGCAAAGCACGAGTTAGTCCGGCCCGGGGATTCTATTGTTCCCCACCGCCACGCACACACCCTCGAGTAGTTGCGATCTGTCTGGCTGGTAGACACACTCATGCAGCCTGAGCACATTTACCAGCCAAGCAGTTTGAAACTACAAACTGATACATCTAGTAATAATACAACTTACCTAATGAGAAAATACCAGACATGCTATATGTCTGGTATTCTCTCAGTTTGTTTTTTATGTGTTTATATTTTTGGGCTGCAAAAAACAGTCCTGAAAAAAAAGGGTTCCAACTAAAGTAAAAAGTTTGGGAAATCCTGGTCTAACCAGCTTTCTGTCTGTCTTACAGTCCATTTATCCAATCCATATTCCTTAACTTGCTGGCAAGAATATTATAGGTGACCATATGAAAAGCTTTGCTAAAGCTGGCACTGGGGGTTTTGGGAGGACCAGAAACAACTTATTTGAATATTCATTTGATTGATGAATATGCAAATGAACATTACTGGTCCTCCAAAAGTTTGTGAATGGATTTCCTGGTCCCCGTGTCAAAAAGTTTGGGAACCCCTGGTTTAAGGCATTCGTTCAGTGTGGCCTTGTTATCCTGCAGGGCTCATTCCATTTACCTCAGGTAGGATTTGTACAGTATCTAGGCTCAACCACCACAGTGTCGAGAGAGGAGCTTTGGCTCTTGAAATTCATTCCGATGGGGGACTCCATGAGACTCCTGTGAGTGACCCAGCAGAGAGAGCTGAGAGGCCAAGTAGGCAGCTTTCAAAGTATGTCCCTGCTAATGTTTCTTGGCAGAGGAAACATGCTGGCGCAGAGCTCTAGATCACGAGAACAGCCCTGGTGATGTTTAGAATTTGGAAGATGTTCACCACATTGCCTACCTTGGATGGAGGACATTTTTTTATCCTAAGCTATTTACAGTGACTAGGTCCAAGGGATGTTACACGACTATTCAATTAATCGCAATCTAACTGCACAAAATATTATTGGTTATATGATTATTCTATAGTCCACAGTGGCTGGGGTGGGGCTGGCAGCCAGTGTGCTCCTGGTTCCACGCTTGGGGAGCCCCCTGCCATCCCATGCTGCTGCCTCTGTATGAGAAGCAGCAGCACAGGGTGGCACCCGCTCCTGTCCGTTGGGGTTCCCAACTACCTGCGGACAGAGGGTGCACCAGCATCCCACAGAGCCTCACGCATATCAGCTCCCACCTGCCCCTCCATCTTGCTGCTTCTGATAGAGAAGCTTGAAAGCCAGCTTCCTGTGTGTACCAGCTCCCCCCTGCCCCCCTCCCCCTCTGCACTACTGCCTCTATCAGAGGCAGCAGAGTGGGGGTGGGGGCAGGCAGCTTTGCAGATCTGGTACTCAGGGGGAGCCGGCTTCCACTCCCCCCCCTTGCTGAGAGAGAGAGAGAAAGAGAGAGACACACTGATAAACCTAGGCCTATCGGTTAATTGTGTACTCGACTACATGTTGACATCCCTACTAGGTCCATTCAACAAAATTCAATGAAACTTAGTTTTGCCTCAACTGGGATAAGGATTCCCATTACAAAGAAGAAATCAGCTAGGTCAGGCCCATGACTTCTCCTCCCTCAAGAATGAGTGTTTTAATCCCACAATTAGTAAACTGGAATATAAAGAAGTTTAGAGACTGAAATCTTTACACACTGAACATGAAACACAAGCCTGCCTGTGATCTAGGCTGTGCATTTACATGCTGCTTGTAATGTTACAGTAAAGCTCCAAGCGGATCCTTACTTCCCTTTCCACCCAACCACTTGTTATACTACTCATCTCTCCCCACACCATGAATGAATGCAAGTCTTCCCACAGGGGATGGAGGAGGATCATACAGCCCTAGCACCGGAGATCCTTACCACTGAAATCCACCAATTGGTTCTGTAAACCTGTGACGGATCAAGAAAGTTGCAACAGCTTCAGCAACCTGAAGTGGGAGGGGAAGAAGGAATCAAGAGTTTAAAGGGACACAACCTGAAGCCTACTCAGTTTCAAACTGTAAAGTAATTCAAAGTACTACATCTTTCCTTCCCATTTGTTAAACATTCTTTCCCCCTGCCCCATGTGACATTTCTGACAAGGGGGCTACATGTCTATATAATATCAAGGACACAGTGAAACCGACCAAACATTAAGTACACAGTTGAAAAAAAAAATCATCACCTCCTTCAGTTATTCTTAGGACTGTACTATAATGGGTAATAAAAATGAGACAATTGTGATTTAAGTTGGTATCCCTTTAAGAATTAATTCAGGGCAGCAAATTACTTGTATCATGCTTTGCAAATAACTTTTATTCTATACACCTGATTGTGCTGAGTAAAAATAGAGTGTCTACATTTTACAAGGGGGTAAACTGAGGCACAGAATGGCTAAGTGACTCAAAGCCAAACAAACAGTCACTAGTAAAGCTGAGAAGAACTCAGTTCTTTTAGAGACATGTGCTCAGTCCGTTACACCACAGTACCATTTTACTTACTGGCGCGCTAGCTTAAATGAGATACTAAAGTTTTGTTTGTCAAAACCAACTGCCACAATGGTGTTTATGTGATGTCTCCTAAATTTTAACTACAGTTTTAATAAGTCAATACTCCTCCATAAAAGTAGCTCTTCTAACTGACAGCTATAGGGGGAAGGGAAAAGCTGAGGTAAACTAAGAGACGTTTAGGATGGAAAATCCTATGAGGAAACCACATCATCACAACTGTGTCATTGAGTCAGTTATACACCACCAACTCCTGACACAGTTACAGCTGTAACATAGGTGGGACCTGTCACCACAAGCAGGCTAATGTCCTGGCCAGTCCAGGCTCTCAAGCCAGCATCAAGGATATGATTTAGTCCCATCTGCTCTATTAGTAACCAGGGCCCCTTATAAGGTGTGGTGTTTGCCCTCAGCTTCATATCAGCAACAGACCCATTTTGCATCTAACTGGTAAAAGAGCTGCAATCAAAGCCTGCCTCGCGCTTTGTGGCTCACCTTGTCTGGAGCATCTTCGTGGACTGCATGGCCACACTGAGGGAGGACTTGCATCTGGAACTTCCCTGCAGACGAAACAGTCAGCGCTGCTGTTAGAGCGAACATGTCCCATCCTGGCCATGGCTTGGGCACGTGTTATATATGATGGCAGAAGCCAATTCTCTATAAAGACTCAAAGCAGGGACTGAACTTGTAAAGGTGCAAAATTACTCTACACTTGTATGTCCACTTCTGCTAAAGGTCTGAAACTCTTTATCAACGACCCTGATTGAAGCATCTAGCTGGCAGGGACTCAGGAAGCTGCATGACACAGGATGTCAAACAGCACGATATGCAGAGCACAGCTTCAGCAGAAGGCAAGAACTTGCCTTCTTCATTCAGCACTTCTGCACAAGTAACTATAGCCATGCCCATTCATTATCTTCCTAATCCTTGATTTCTGAGAGCTTTGCACTAAATGCCATCCCATCTTCCTGTTAGACCAACCATGCCAGGACCTTTACCCAATGACCCATGTTCCCTTCCAATATCTGATTTCCAGATAAATCAGTGATGAGGCCTAGAAGTGGAGAGGTATTAATGTAACTGTGAAGTATTATTAGAGGTTGCTGTTGTAGCTGCATCAATCCCAGGACATTATACAGACAAGGTGGGTGAGGGAATATCTTTTACTGGACCAACTTCTGTTGGCGAGATACAAGTTTTCAAGCTTACATGGAGCTTTTCTTCAGATTATAAGCTTGAAAGCTCATCTCTTTCACCAACAGAAGGTAGTCAGAGAGAAGATATTACTTTCCCTTTCTTGTGCTGACAGACCCTTTAATAATGCTTGAGACACAAGGGGGGGGGATTATTTCAAGTGGCACCAGGTGGTGTAACTAGAGGCAATGGGATGGAATTAAAAGAAAACTGACTGAAAAATCAGGAAAAGCTTTCTTATGGGAAGACTGGGACAATAGAATGATTCCCCACAAGACATGACAAAGCCCCATCACTTAAATATTTAAGACCAGACTGAACAAAAGCACTACCACAGCCAGGTCTCCAAACTCCTCCAGCTTCCATTAACACAGAATCCACAAGGGATCACATGGTTACTCTGCGGATTAACTAAATTATCTAGTACTTGTCTCAATATAGATTGCCCCAGCCAGGACCACTTCAGCCTTCTTCTCTAGCTCGTTTTCAGCCTCCACAATGTGAGCTATCATCTGAAAGAGCACGAAATCCCAAAGTATTAAATATTTACCTTGCATCTGTCCAATTGTTAGATCTTTATCCAGCCTGTCAACACCTAAAATAAAGTAAACAGAGGTGTTGGGGAGAAGCCGGGAGAGAGTGTCTAGTTAGACCCTGCTAAGACTTTGCAAAAAGATGTTTGGTGTGAAAAATGGAATAGAAACAGCATCTCAAAGCACACTAGATGGTTTCCCTGCTGCACATCTGGAGCAGTGACACAAGAGGATCACTGGAAAAAACATGAAGGAATATTCATGCATCCATCCTTCCAGATGTCTTTAAATTGCACTCAGCTAGTGGAGACTCCTAATGGTTCCCATCACAGGCTATTGGCTGGCAATAGGGAACCGTCATGGAAAACTGATCCTTTCATATTCACAAGTTCAAATCCAACAGAGGTCTGCAATAACTAAGTGATTATTCCTGTTGGGCGGCTCAGGTCTCAAACCTGTTCCTAGCAGAACATTAGCTCAATTCTATAACTGCAACAGCCTTCAAACAGCTAACCCATGGTCCACAGTGGGTCCGAGCCTCTAGGATCACAATATACACTGTGGATGTTGCAGAGAAGGAAACGGGAAAGTCTCTCAAAATACATAGACGGGCCAGGATAGAAGCCAGACACGTTATTTCCAGACCCGTATCTTTGCCACAGGTTTGCCCTTCTCTCCTCTAAAGTACAGGCGGAATGTAATCCAAGTGAATGGCAGCAATAACTAAAGAGAAACAAAAACAAAAACAAAAACACCTACCCGCTAAAAGCAGCAGCTTTGGCGTCGGACAACCGAGGAAGAGGTTGGATAAGCCCCTAAACCACCCATCCCAGTACTTTTCTGTTTTCGCCAGTTCGATTCGCCATGTATACAGATGTTCCTTCTTTGTCTACAAGGAGACAGAGCTCAGCATTAGTGTCCAACTGAAACAACCAGCATAGAATAAACCCAACAAAGGGCCACCTGGAAGATAAAGTAAAAGCCCAGAATAAAGCCAGCAGTTGACTAATGCAGGGATCTCAAGCTCAGTTTACTATAGGGCCAGTGCTAGTCCTCAAATCCTCTTAACAGACCAGTGGGAACCTCCTCTAGCAGCAGTACATGGGGGTGGGGATCTCTGAATGTTCCTCCCTCCCCCACATCTCCTGGCTCTATGTGCCCCCTACCATGCATCTCCCAGCCCTATCTGCTGCCTCCAAATGCCCCAGAGGCTCCACTACCACCACTAGCAGTTCAGTGGGGCTAGAATGGCTTCTGGCTGCTAGCTTGGGGGAAAGGGTGCAATGGTGGGGGAGAAGGCACAGGGATGAGAAGATGCAGGGTGGGGGCAGAGCAGCTGGACTTGGGGAATGGGGATGGACTCCAGGCTGGAGCATGGAACGGCTTGGACCATAGATGGCCCATGGGCTGTGAGTTTGAGACCCCTGCTCTAATGTCAGTTTGTCCCCCACATGTGGAGCTAACTAGGCAACCTTAGTCACAAAGCTTGGATTATTCTCTTAACCTTAAAATATGCTTGCTCCACATCTCGCTAATTTAATGGGGAAATGGGACAGAAGTCTGCACCTGCTGTATTGATCCAGAGAGACCTCCAGTTTCCAGGATTGTCCATCTGCCACCTTTCACTGAACTAAAAACGCACATGCCGTCAAAATGCCTGGATTTGCCCTTCAGTAAAGCTTGGGCAAGATGCAGTTTTGCACTGTGCACTAACAGAGTAATTGGGGGAACAGGACGGTTAGGACACATGGTCTATGCCATCCAGCAGAAACGGAAATGAAACAGCGTAGGGACCTAGAAGACAGACTCACTGGAGCCATTTAGGAGCCTCTCTCACTCAGGAAAGTAGTTCTCTTCTGGGCCATGTACACTGGGTCAGTTCATGAACATCTAAAAACATTTTCAAGTTGCGACTCACCAGGTAGCCAGCAGCCTGAGACGAAAGCCCAAACTCAGACATGGGCTAGCAAAGAGGTCAAAGTAGTTACATCTATTTACACTAAGGCACTGAATGAGAGCTGCACAAATTGCTAGTTCCTCCCTCCCAGGAGAACTTTTACATGCTGTCTTACAGGCACCTAGCTCCATGGAAATATCTCCTTTGCAGGCTGCATGGTGGCCCTCTTTCGCCTTGTACATCTCCAGATACCCTCGAGTTGAACAGACATTTATGCTATCAGAACACAATGAAACTCTCCACCTCTGTATCATCTTCCTTCTTCCGTTTGTTAACAGATCCCCTTCCTTCATAGTCTTCGTCCTCTTCCTCCTCCTCCTCCTCCTCTTCAATAATCCCTTCCACTATAGCTTTAGGGGCCTCTGGACTAGCAGCCTCTTCACACCTGGTAAAACAGAACTGGAAATTGATTTCTTTTCCCATTGTGAAAAGCAACATCTTAAACATTGTAAGAGAGATCACCTGCACCTGTAGGATGCAACTGGATTTCTCAAGAGAGACTGGCTGATCTGAGGCTCTACCACATCAAGAAAGGGAAAGTCCAGGTCAAAGGAGCAAAATTAGGTTTTTCATGTCACTATAGAATATAAAATACCTTGATGCTGTTGGCAAGCATCATGGTGTTGTATAAGATTATAATGCGACAAATTCCTTTAATCACCACTCAACTCCACTGCCGTTGGGGTGAATGTAGAGCTATTTAACACCACAGCAGCAGCGGCGGCGCACATGAAAAACACTATATCCCGTTCAATTGGCAGCAGGGATTTAGGGAAAGGGCATCAAGCTAGTCTATTTGTGTGAGCACATCTTCGCATGGACCACTGCATGCCCGTTGTTTTATACTCTATCACTTGCATGTATAAACGGATTTTGCATGTAAAAAAATATGATCCTTGAGGGGTAATTATCCAAGCAAAATTTTGACTGTCACATACCTAACCCTAGGAACGCTGATGTCTAAACTTTTTAATACTATTTTCCAACCTACTGTGATCTACCTTGGCAGGTGTAAAAGAAGGAGTTCACATCTGCTAAAATATTTATTTATTTTTAAATGTAGATCTATGCACGGTTACCAATTTGGGATCTTAAAACAAGTAAGAAGGTTTAAGAAAACAGAACCTACTGTTTGATTTGGCCAACCATAGAAACTCTGGCCGATTCAAGATTTCTTATCTGTCCACTTTTCACACTAGAGAAAACAAAGGGAAAAAGGGGGAATCAAAGTTGTCAAACATCATAGATCAACTGCATATATTAATCTATCATTTAGTATTTAACAGGTCCAGTAATAATATGAGCACAGAACAGAATTCAGGTCTCTGGCCTGCCAATCAAATGCCTTAAGCACCAGACCAAATTTTCTCCAAAAGTAATTGCAGAATTACCAATACAATGCAGATTTTTGAAGAGTACACAAACTTGCACATTTTACCTCCATTCAATTGCATTTTCAATTGACTTGAATGTTTTGGGACGACTCCGTAAGAAGTTCTGCATGCTGTTCAATGCGTCCATGGCTGTGCCTAAAACAAATGTTTTGAATTAAATGAACCCAACATCTGACAATGTCCTTGTAGCACTTCTCAAAGATCTCTCTATAATAGTGTGAACTGTGTGAGCAGGACTGCTAACTGGGGCGAGGGGGAGGGAGGAAGGAGCGGTAAAGAGGGCAGCTGCCCCAGGGCTTGGAGATTTGAAGGGGCCTGAAGCTCCTGGTGGCCACCATCGCTACTGCGCCAGCAGCTGGAGCTCTCAGCCCTTTAAATCACTGTTGGAGAGCTGTGCTGAGGGCTGCCTGCTCCTGGCCCCATCTCTTGTGTCGAGGCCTCCCCCTCCCTCTTCCAGAAGCATGGAGCCCCCTTCCCCCCAATCCCTGACATACAACTTGCCCAGGGGCCTATGGAGGCTGTTGGCTCCCCTTTGTGTGGGGGAGAGAACTGAGGCAAATTTCAGGATTTAAGATAAGTTGGTTAACAGCACGACAGTTGTGAACTATACACAGCTGCTCAAACCAGCTTTGTTTTTAAAAAAAAATGGTTTCCAGGTCAGCAAATCTGTATTCTCTTTGCTTCCCTCATCCACATTTTAAAAAACAATGAATAGTCCTGCAGCACCTTAGAGACTAACAGAAAATGCAGATACTACCACTTACATTTTTTGTTGGTCTCTAAGGTGCTGCAGGACTATTTATTGTTTAAGGTTTTTCTATTACAGACTGACACACTGAAACTTTTGCACACCCACATTTTAATAGCTTACAAGTTTTCTATAATTATCATCTATCTATCAGAAAGCCCTTCATTAATTGTAACAGGGCTTGTATTGTTCTGTGTGCTACTGCCATTAGAGGGTTAACATGTCATATCTGGACAGGTCTGATATTTCAGGCAGCAGAGAGCAGTGGTGGCACTATTATATGGGTCAATAAAACACTCTCCACCCATTTTGGCCCTGAGTATAAGAATGGATGCCGCACCTCAATCACAACAAATGAAAACAAATGGAAAAGCCCAGCTGGGAAAACCAAGGTGAAGATGCTAACTAGATGATACAATAGGTGGCATGTCCATTTGAGAGAAGAGAAACCTACATATGGTTAACACAACCGAGGAAGCCCTCCCATTGCCAACAACGCTAACTGAAGAGGAGAAGAACAAACTTATCAGGCAATACTGTTCAAGGACATTAAAAACAAACACACACAAACACACAACACCTTACCTTCCACAACATCAATCATGCAAAGACCCAATAAACTGGGTACCAAATTGGACGCTGCTGTGTGCACTGCAATGGCCCCACCCATACTGTGCCCAATCAGCATGATTGGAGGAGGGAGGTCCCCGTACATAGCTTCAACCACGTTTCCAACATCTCTGGCAAAAGAAGAGGGCAAGGACATTATGGAATGGAATGAAGACAAGGTACAAAGCATATTGTTATATTCAGTTTCTTACACCACTCATTATTGCTGTACCTGAACACCCTAGGGTGTAACACATCCGTCATTAATAAAGAACTGAACTCTGTTGGAAAGAGAATAGTAAGTAGTTTGAAGGATATCCAATTAAAAATGCGTAAGACTTCACCATAGGTGCCAGAAACACAAAGGGCATCGTGTCCAATGTACGGGAGTCACAAAGCAAGACTGACTAACTTGTTTTCTCTATCCAAGCCGAGAAATTAGAAAAAATGGCACATATCACATCAGTGGTAAAGAATAATGTAAGGTATCAACAGGTAAAGAAATTACTTAAATATCTGATTTTTAACTGTTTCTTTTGAAGGTGCCAGAGGATTTATGAATCTGAAAAGGCTCCAGGTTAGAGACAAACTGTAAATAGCTTTCAAATCTCTCATTAGGAAGGCAGAAAGTGTTAAAATGAAAAGCTGCCGATTTGTTTGGTCCCATATTAGTGCTGCTCCAGATCTGAAAAATGATCAGTGCATATGGCAGCTCCTTGGGACACCAACACACACCTCAGGAGCTGCTACGCTATGAGAAGCAGCAAAACAGCACACAGCGAGTCAAACGCTATTTCACAGATGGCCTCCCTGGAACAAGCCAAGCAGGTCTGTTTGTACGAAGGACTCGCTAACCTTCACGAGTTGATTATAGCAGCTAGGAGAATCTTTGTGCACTAAATGCAGGCATTACATAGTATTTTTAGTGGGAGGTAATTGTTTTGCTCACAGCTGGTCATGAAGAAGGGTTTGCATTCAAAAGCAGGTCACTGTAATTTGATTAAGCAGCTCTCACCAGGCCTGAAAGTCTCATTCTGTGCAGGACACCGTTTCTCGATGGAGTGGTTTCAAACTGGGCATGAGTCAAACTCAACCTTCACCCAAGGTGAGGGATGGGTACAGAAAAGCAGTTTATCAAGGCAAAGAAAACTGACGCTCATCGGGATGGGTAAATGTTATTTAAAACAGACTGAAATAACAATGGAAAAGTATTCCCCCATACTAAGCTATGCAAGGTGCACATAGATCATATAGTGAGTAGAGTAATACAAAAGCCAGCCCCTGAGCTGGTGTAAATCAGTGTGGCTTCATTGGCACTACATCCATTTACACCAGCTTTGGATCTGGCCCCAAAAGTGTATTGTCACAGCAAGTAATGGAGAAAATAAAGTCACTTTGTCCCTCCCTGGCAAAACTGGTACGATCTTGAGAGAGAGGAAAGTTGAGACTATAGGGTTGAAGGCAGAATAGAAGATCAGGAGAAGAAAGAGTGGGAATGAAGGAAGTCTGTATTCTGTATACTTGCTAATTCTCTTCTCAGCTTACGTCTTTACTACCTGCCAGATTGAAGTGTAACAATCGATTCAACAGAGGTCATAGAATCAAAGAACACCAGAACTGAAAGGGACCTTGAGAGGTCATTGAGTCCAGTCCCCTGCCCTCATGGCAGGACCCAGAGTCATCTATCAGGGATGGTCAGATGGTAATCTAACCTGATCTACTTGCTAATTCTCTTCTCAGCTTACGTCTTTACTACCTGCCAGATTGAAGTGTAACAATCGATTCAACAGAGGTCATAGAATCAAAGAACACCAGAACTGAAAGGGACCTTGAGAGGTCATTGAGTCCAGTCCCCTGCCCTCATGGCAGGACCCAGAGTCATCTATCAGGGATGGTCAGATGGTAATCTAACCTGATCTTAAATATCTCCAGAGATGGAGATTCCACAACCTTCCTAGGCAACTTATTCCAGTGTTTAACCATTCTCACTGTTAGGAAGTTTTTCCTGATGTCCAACCTAAATCTTCCTTGCTGCAGTATAAGCCCATTGCTTCTTGTCCTATCCTCAGAGGCTAAGGAGAACAATTTTTCCTCCCTCCTTCTTGAGACACCCTTTTAGATACCTGAAAAGTGCTATCCTGTCCCCTCAGTCTTCTCCTTTCCGAACTAAACAAGCCCAATTCTTTCAGTCTTTCTTCACAGGTCATGTTCTTTACCTTTAATCATTCTTGTTGCTCTTCTCTGGACTTTCTCCAATTCCTCCACAGCTTTCTCCATGTCAAGTATAGACGTGATAAATGGACCACTGAGTCCTCTCCTGTCAACTCTGGTATTCCACCAGAACGAGAAGCATAGGGGGAGTTGACAGAAGAGCATCAGCGGTTGATTTACTGCAGTAAGCAGATTTAAGAACATCAACCTCAGCTACATTTTTCACACTGTTAGCATGTGGTAGTGTAGAGTAGGCCTCAGAGGCATTTATAAGCAAAGAAATTACTCCTAGGGGCAGTGAAGGCTGGACTTAGGACAATCATGGGAGAAGGAAGCTGAAGTGCAGTGGAGAAGGTGGATCTAGGGATGGAGACAGTCACAGGAGATTAAGACTGGTAAAGGAGGTACTGCGCAAGTGGAGAAATCACGCTGTCATGTCCATCCTTACAAACATGAAACAGTACTAATAGGGTAAATTCCACATTCAAGATGAAAAATTAAGTATCTCTCCACAAAACAAAACATGACATTCCAGAAGATCAGTCCATTCCTGAAATATTAAATCAGTCACAATGCCTAATACGTACCTTGATAGTACAGTAATAAACAGCTCTACATCAAAGTTTGCATTTACAACAAAAATGAAAGGTTATCTACTACTATATATTTTAGAGAGTTTGTGCATGTGTGTGTGTCTGTCTGTGAGTCTGTTTGTTCAAGAACTCCTCCTAAATGGTAAGAGCTAGGAAAACCAAATTCGGTGTGCGGCTTCCTCTGATCATAACTGAAAGCAAGGCCAGGGTCTGGTTGTGCCAGGACAACGGGATGTTTATGAAACGTGAACGTTTTGCATCAAATAGAAAGGGAGAGGTGTGATAGAAGGGACAGTTATACTCATGAATGACCACAGGGAGGAAGCAAATGCCCCAGGGACCAGCTGCTCACCGTGTCCCAGAGAGCAGCTGGAAGACTTCTAGTACTATATATGATCAAAGTGACTGAGTTAACAGCACAGTAAATTCAAATTTAGCAGCTAGTTTTGAAGTTACATAAATTTTTCTATGGAAAGAATTGTGGGATTTTAAAAAAGTGAGTTAAAACACTGCTAAATTACAGATGGGTTTTAAGTGAGAGAGTTCTTTTTAAAAAAAGACTAAAAAAGGGAGAAAGATTCTGATATGGGTCCACTGCATTACCAACTTCAAATGATCATGACTTTTAAATCAAAGGGAAATCTCCTCACCAGCTTTACATTTCAGTGAGCTCTACAGAACAAATCTAGTTTGAAATATCTAGCACCAACTGTTGGAAATATGATTTCAACTTGCAGCTAAATTGATACTGCTCAAACTTCCCAAAAAGAAAAGAAAGTTATGAGCATCTAAGAGAAGGGTGAATCAGAATGAAAAGCGGAACACAACTTAAGTTCTAGTACCCCCTCACATGATTGGCATGTGTGATCTCTTGATACAAGGCAAACTGAAGGTGATAAAAAGTCAAGAAGAATTACAGAACAAACATTTGAAAAGACAAAGATTTGGAAATGTCTGAAATGGCTAAAGAGAATGTAAACATCCATACTTTGACATAGTTTCTGCTGATAGATCTTCAGGATTTCTAACTTTTGTTTCACCTGAAAAGTAAAAAAACAAAAAACAAACAAAAAATCAAATTAAATTAAAAGGACACTATTAAAGCAGATTAAAAATCTTCAGAATCCCAGGACTTAAATAGTAGCAACTATGAGCCCAGATATTATAAAAAAAGTTCTCTCTCTCTCTCTGAGAATTAATGTAATCTTTAAAGTTTTAATTAGCTAATAAAATGCTTTGCACTTTATTACATGGTAGTTCATAGGTGGAAAACTATGCCCATAGATTGGCGATTTAACACTGTGGATCATCCTTAGGTTCCCACTAAGAGGGCTGCCTATACCAGTGGTCCCCAACGCGGTGCCCGCAGGCGCCATGGCGCCCGCCGGGCCATTTATGTGCACCTGCGGAACAATCTGGTCTGGCCCTGCCCCCATGAA